ACTCAATACCGAAATTACCATAAGGTATATTAACGTTATTTGCATGTGATGGTGGATTTCCCTAAATTAATTAATAAGCTTTCTCAAGTCATATTAATCCTTTATTAATCCAATTCTACCATCAAATTTCTAAGTGGTTGTCAAAAGGAAAAATAAGCATTAGTTTCTTTGGAAACCTCTAATCGTAAAAAGGAATTTGACTCACTAAGCTTCATTGATTCCCACACATGAGCTAATCATCTTTTAATATCATAGTCTATCATGCAATTTTTATTGCCTAGGGATCTAATTTATAACAATCCTTTGGTTAATCATGCATAAATCATCAAATCATTAAAAGATTGGCCAGTTCTTTTAAAACATTAACCATAGCAATAAAAATTCCTCAGGCAAATAATAAAGGTCTTAAATTGAATTAAACAAATAACTATATAATCTTAAGATCAAAATCCATGTAAACCCTAATTAAGAGAATTTAGTTAGACATCATTAAATTCAACATACTTAAGAAAATTAAAGGGGAAACGCAACAAGAACACATCAAATAATGAATATAATAACAAATAAAACTTTAGCCTTTGAAGGTAGAAGACAAGTGCAGAAACAAAGCATTTTTCCCTCTTGAATTCGGATTCTTCCTCTCCTTCTCTAACATGCTGAAATTGCTTCATCTTCTCTTCTAATGTGCTAAGACTGCTTCTTCTTATCTTCTTTATTGAATTCTCTCTAAGGATGTGCCCCCTTGCCTTGAATCTGCAGTCATTTTTATAGTGCAGCATCCCCTCAATTGCTTCTCAATGAAGACTCTTAATTCAACAAAAATTAGGTTTTTTAACATTTATCTCAGTTGAATTCCTATCTCTTCTACACCGTCAACTACTAGACCCGAAACGTGTAGCTCCAATTTCACTTAGTTGGCGGCGGAATTAAGTTGAGTGATAAACACAAGAATTGTAGCCCTATCTCTTAGCTTTAATTATCCATTTGAATCACTTTAATCCGAGTTGTAGACAGAAAATTATGCCCAAAATACGAGAACTATATCAAAACAGGAAATTTCCCGATTTTTATGCATACATATCAAATCCGATTTCAATGGATTCTCTCCTTCATGGCTACATCATGAAGCATCATTGCTGCATGGTCCTTCCTCTATGATTATCTTGATCAATTAAATCAAACTCCTCCTTAAAATTGCACAATTAAATTCCAAATCATCTTATAAGACAATTTCATCATAATTAGTGTAATACCATACTAATTCCAAAAACATTATTACCAAAATCAACAAATTAGAGGTATAAAAATATGTACAAATATAGGCTTATCAAATACCCCCAAACTTAGCTTTTGATCGTCCCCGATGAAAATATGAATAATATCATACTTAAGCTCATGAATTGATCATGCTTTGCTTATCTTGATTTTCCAAAGTATATGCCTCAAAGATTATATAAGGTGTATAACTTAGAAAGCATTCAAAATGCCATTCAAGAATTATCATGAATCTTATGCTAACAAAATCTCATCATGGAAATTGAAGTGTGTGCGTGTGTGCGTGTGTGTGTGTGTGTTTTGTCAATTTTCGACAGTCATGCATGATTCTTATTTTAAATTATGCAAACCAATGGATCTTTGAAATTTTTGAATATTCCATAGGCTTGTTCTTTATAGTTCTTCTCCACTAATTTAGACAATCATAAAATTTTATTTCAATAGGTCTTTATTAAGCTTGTAATCTGAGGCCTAGGTAGGGGCTAACAAAGAAAGGATAAGGAATTACAAAGCAAAAGAGCATAGAAGGATATGCACATATAAATGTATTCTCTAGATATCCCCATATTCTTTATTTTTCACATGTATTACAATCCTCAAACTTATTTCTTTTGATCTTCTTGGGTAGTGAATAAACTTTTCAGCACATAATTTTAAGCTCATGATATATTTCTGAAGCCTCTTTTCTTTCTTTTTCAACACTTTTTTTTTATTTTTCTTTCATCTTCCCTTCTTTCATTCATCAACATCATTGTGCAAATTTAAGCTCTATTAAAGGATAAATCATGGTTTTTCGGATTTGACAGGTTTAGTACAATGAGTGTTAAATAAAAGAATTCGAATGGTGGCTAATCATATGCTTTGCATATGTCATTCTTTTGAAAATGCTCAAAAGGATAATTAAGGATTGAAATATATCAAGGTTGGCTTGAAAAATCTCAAACGATCCAAATATGGCATAAATCATCTCCAAAGTAATATGTTGTCTAGGATTTCGCCTCAAGGCTAATCAAATAAGTTCTAGAATATCACATAATGATCATATTGTTCCATATATCTCACATAATCATTCACCAAGTTGCACACAATTCACAAGATCATGTCATAATGTGCTCAAGAATTTCAACTTTCATTATACAATATAGTTAATGCGAGAATCAATCAATCATCAGGATTAGCATTTTCCTTTTCTAAGTCATATTTGATTTCAATCAAGAATTTATCATAGACTTTTACTCATCAAAAAAAAAATCTAGCAATCACAAACTTAAGCTAAAGCATATTTCGAAAAAAAAAATAATGCAATCATACCATGCTCTTGCTCTTGGGTTCACAAAAATTGCAATCTCCTCCCCCTAAACTTAAATTTAACATCGTCCTCAATGTTAAGTAAATTAAAGAGCAAAAAGAAGGGAAAGAAACTTCATTTCGAGTTGGAAGTTATACATGTTGAAATTTCCTGTCCATGGACTCCAAAATTGCAACCTACCTTACAGCAATTAAAAGAGAAGAAAAAAACAGCAATAACAAGAGAAAGCAAAAATTAAAACAAAACTTAAAAGGAAATAAAGAAACATGAAACAAATAGAAATCCTAAAATGCATAAATGAAAAATATAATTCTAAGTTATAGTCGTTAGATTGACTCTGTTTCCATTTTCATAGATCCTTCAAGTGAATGGTGGACTTAAAGAAATGATTATATCCACCATCAATGTAAGGCTTCAATCTTTGCACATTGACTTTGAAAGTCCACTTAGTTTCATTAGATACTTCAATTGCATCATTAGGAAAAACTCTATTTACTATGTACGGACCACTCTATCTTGACTTTAGTTTGCTGAGAAAAAGCTTCAATATAGAATTATAAAGAAGAAACTTGTCTTCAACTGTGAATTCTTTCTTTTTAATGTGTGCATCATGTCATGCCTTGGTTCTTTTTTTATAAATTCTAGAATTCTCATATGCCTAGTGCCACCATTCTTCAAGTTGATTCAATTGCATCTTTCTTTGTTCACCTACAATTTGCAAATCAAAGTTAAGCAATTTCATTGCCCAATATGCTTTATGCTCTAATTCAATAGGGAAGTGACAAGCCTTACCAAACACCAACCTATAAAGAGACATTCCAATGGGTGTTTTGAAATCTGTCATATGGGCCCAAAGTGCATCATCCAATTTCATTGACTAATCCTTCTTAGATAAGTTCACAGTCTTTTCCAAAATACCTTTCAATTCCCTATTTGAAATTTCTACTTGTCCACTAGTTTGGGGATGATAGGGGGTACCAAGCTTATGGGTAACACCATATTTAATTAATAAATCATCAAATTGTTTATTGTAAAAGTGTTTACCTCCATCACTAATGATAGCCTTCGATGTACCAAATCTAGTAAAAATATTTTTTTCAATAATTTGATTACAACCTTAGCATCATTAATGGGACATGCAATTGCTTCCATCAATTTACTCACATAATCAATAGCAACAAGTATATACTCATTATTGAAGGATTTTGAAAAATGACCTATGAAATCAATGCCCCAAACATAAAAAATATCACAAATAAGAATGTTGTTTAGGGGCATCTTATTTTTCCTTGATATATTATCTGTCCGTTGGCATCGATCACAAGAACTTACATAGGCATAAGCATCCTTGAATAATGTAGGCCAATAAAGTCCACTTTGTAAAACCTTTGCCGCCGTCTTGGATGGTCCATGGTGTCCACCTGCTTCTTTGTCATGACAAAAGCTAAGTATACTCCGCACATCTTCCTTTGGTATGCATCTTCTCACCATGCCATCTGCACAAATCTTGTATAGATACGGTTCCTCCCAAAGATAGTAACTTACATCAGATAAAAATTTCTTCTTTTGATGAAAAGAAAATGTTAGGGGCAACTCATCACCTATAAGAAAATTAGCAAAATCAGCATACCACGGTTTATCATTATCATGCACAAAACATAATTTCTCATCAAGAAATTCATCATGCAAAGGGTGTTCATCCATGCTCTCCACATACTCCTCGTCCAATCTACACAAGTGATCAGTTACCATGTTTTCGATGCCTTTCTTGTCTTTGATTTCTAAGTCAAATTCTTGCAACAATAAAATCCATCTTATCAACCTAGGTTTTGCATCTTTTTTAGCAAATAAATACTTTAATGCAACATGGTTAGTATAAACAATCACTTTAGATAAGATCAAATAAGGTCTAAA